CGTGCCAACTTTTAGTTTAGTAAAATGGAGAGAGATTCGTCAAGTTTGCGAAACATCGTCCGGCGATTACCATCAACTGGGACCTGTTTCTTCGAAGCCGGCTTCTACCGTGATCAACAACATTGACGAAGAATACCAACGTTTCCAACATTTCCACAATTGCGCTGAGGAAGCCGAGAGTCCTAGAAAGTACAGAAAAACGTCTTTCACCGGAGACTTTGGAGCTGATGCCAAAGTGAACGAGCACGAGCCACAGGTAATTACCGACTAAAGTCCGAGCCTGCGAAGCGACACAGAGAAGCGATAAGAGAAGATCACAAGGTGAAGTAGCTGTAATGGTTGGCTGCCGAGGCTGGAAGAGGTATAGTAGAGACAACGCCCGCTGAAGCTTTGTTAACTTTAAAACCAAGATGACCGCACTTTGCCGTCCAGACGAAACCATTACTGCATCCCGTAGGTCAATGGAGAAGGTCATCCACGACCTCTACTCGTATCTCGTTAATAGCCACGTCCACCTGCCTTCAAGTCTCCTCAGGGAAGACGTTATGTCGCACCGTCTGTTCTTCCTTCTAAGGTTCGTCATGGTATCATTTGAATAAAGAATCGTACAGCGCCCGGTCCCGATAGGATCAAAACGAAAGAAAAATCTCTCACCAGTTCTTATCAGAACTCTTGCAAGGCTCTTCAAGCGGTAACTAACGGAGGGCAAAGTTTTAAGTCAATAGAGAACCAGCAAGATTGTACTGCTGTAGAAGAAGGGAGATCCTCGCGACATTGGCAACTACGCCCCATCTGCCTGCTATCCGTAGTCTATAAACTCTTTACGCCAGTTGAAGAGGGTTAGATGAAGGACAACCATGCGAGCAAGCTGGGTTTCGCAGAGGATAGACGATAGACTACATACACAGGTGTCAAGGCTCATCGAAGTATCACGAAAGTAAAGGCCGGTCTGTTTCACCTCCATCGACTTGAAGAGCCTTCAACTTGGTTGAGACTGAAGCCGTCATCAACGCTCTGAGTAATCAAGCTATTTTCATAAAATAAATCAAGATGATTCGTGAGACTATAGCGACTTCACAATCAGGATCACAAAATTCTACAAGGACATCATCGTTGACGTGAAGAGTGTACGACAAGGCGACACTATATCGCCGAAGTTATTCAGCGCTGCCCTCGAGAACGCTATGCGGACGTATGGAGAAATGGGAGTGGAAGTCGATGGCCGGCAACAACATCACCTTTGCTTTGCTGATAACATTGTATTGATAACATCAAGCACCACGCAGGCGGAAAAGATGCTGACGTAGTTTGACGAATTGTGTGGCAAGATGATCGCCATGGCTGAGTATAACGAAGACGATGTTTATGAGGAATGGAAAAGTACCTGATGCTTCCTTTAAGCTTAACGGAACGACAACACCGAATGCTCAAGTTACACTTATCCAGGTGGGAATTCAATATGATGAAGTATTTCTTCGGAACTAAACAGGAGGAAAACGCAGCATGGGGAGCATATAAAAAAATTGAGAAAGAAAGAAATTGAGGACTTAGTAGCAAAACCAAGAATCTGGCTCCGCGTCCACCTCTTCAACTCAACGGGTTTTTTTGCTTTGACGTACGCTTCGGAAACATGGACAATGAGGAAACAGGACGAGCATGCGGTTAGCGTTATTGAACGTGATGAGAGAGTGATGTTAGGAGTGAACCGACTTACGCAAGTGAGGGAAGGATTACGAAGTCCTACCCTACGTTAATGATCGAAGATCAGGGACGTTGCTGCATCCATCAAGCAGAACAGGATAAGATAGGCCGGATACTTAAAGCGTTTGACGACAATCGGTCGACGAGAGCTGTAATGAATACCACTGGACGTCAAACGCGAAAGAGGAAGACCGCCGACGCGATAGTCAGATATGCTCACGATGTCTTCTAATAAAGTCCTTCAGAACGTTCCACTTGTTCCTGGTGCGATACACGAACACTGATCAACAATCGCCCGCGACAGGGACGAACGGAGGCATTGAAAAAGTTGAGCTGAATTTTATAGGGTTTGCTCTATTTAGAAAGTACTTGGACCTTTTCTGAAAATCGGTACATAATCAAAAAAGTAGCGTAACTCCATCTTAGCGAAAAAGCGCGGGTCGTAACTTTCGGTAATTTTCTGAGAGCAGGGTGGTTGGATTGGAACGAAAGAAATTATCATTTGAAAAGAGAATGAAAGGTTGCATCGGATGCTCTTAAACGCTTTTGAGAAGCTTCATTTTGCTATGCAACTGATATACAAAAATGGGAACATATTGGGTTGAAGGTTGTTTTGTGACGATAAAATAAAAATTTCAAATTTCAAATTTTAAAATGTGAGAAGAGTATTGAGAGTTTTTTCATAAAATTAGCAACGCATCCGTTTTCATCACGTTTCTTGATTAGCTTAGATCAAAAATCTTACTTTAAGTGAGCACCCATGTGTCCTCACCGCCAAATGGTCTAGCTTACCTATCTGCTGGAAGAGACTTGCTATTTTTCACTCTGCATTATCATGAAAGGATTTGAGCCTGTATTTTGTTCACTAAAGAAGCGAAACAATGCTTCGCTGTTTATTTTACGCGAAACTTCTTTGATAACTAGCGCTGCCAGCAGCGTTGCAGAGGTTTTTTGACCTCAGCAAAGTTGCAGGAAGTAGTTAGAGACAATGAAAATTCGATTGCACAAATTCTATGCTTCCTAATTTCTTATTACTGCGAAGAAGCTTACAAAACCTCAACAGTGGTAATATTTTTAAGCCGCTTTTTATGACTGTTTTTTAGAAGAAATGACCATGGTATTTGTTATTCGCATCGTAATGCTAGAATTCGCTCCATCTGTTGTTATGCAATAATGGGAAAACATATTGATTGAAACTCTTAGCCGTTGACGATGTTAGAATGGCTAACGAAAGCGAGAAAATCGCTCCTATAGTTGGAAGAGTTACTTCCACAGTAAAGGGCCCATTTCCGCCCATTCTATTTCCCACCTGCATTAGAACACTTTTTCGCCATTATCGTGCTCTCCGGTATTGGTTATTGTTTTAGCAAAGCGAACAGGCCCAGATAAGCATTAATTCAAAACCGAATTCTTGCCCGGGCACTGCCTTTGATCCTCCGCTCTCCCTTAAAACACATTGTGATGCACATAGAAGGCATTTCCAAGGCGTTTGCCATAGCGCTTCCTTGTGCGACGAAAACACTAGGTCAACATTGCCTTTTGGAAAAGTGAATGTGGAGAGGCAAAATATTAGGTTGAAGCACAATTACAAAAAAGGAGAAAATCAAAGAATTTAGAAAATTTGTTTGAATTTTGGCAGACCTAATCAACAATTTTAGTGACTAAAAATTAAAAAAATGACTTGTTGAGTATTTTTCTTAATCATTTTAAATTGTTGCCATATGCTTTAAGGAATATGACTTGAAGCATATGGCAACAATTTGGGCACATTCTGAAGGCGCGAAATTTCATCTCTCTATTTTGCATCAAAACAGTAGATTTTATTGAAGCTGGATGGAGTAACGAAATTTAAAATATTTTGGTGCAAGAATGCATTCTTGAGCATGCGGAGTTGGAGGGGGGCTTCTAAACTATGATTTTGAGCTCTGTATTTTTTTTACAGATATTTCGAAAATTTTGAAAATACACGCTTTGGCAGACATCAATGTTCCGCTCCGAAATTGTGGAGCTAAACGTTTTTATTCTCGTAATTCTTTTTTCAGAATTTTCTAAATCAAAGGTTGCAGCAAATAGAATAGCCCGGCCCGAGAATTTTATGCCCGACTTCTTCAAATCCTCATTCCTACTCCTTTCCACCAAATAATGATTTTAATGTCTTTTGCCCACCCATGACAAGCAAAACAAGCAGCCACTGACATTTCTTTTGGCTCGGCCATTCTCGCCGCTATGATAGTCATACAAGGCTGCGGTATGAATAGGTGTCCGTGTTTGTCGATTCCGGGATTACGATCGAAAACGCATTTTCTTCGCTCAAATGTGCTAACAACGCGCCTTTGCCCTTGTATTGTACGATATGGACAAGCTGCACAAGTCAAAAGACGACGGAAAACTTGCACAAATGCGTGCTGCCATTTGTAGCAGGTAAGCTTTTTTGGAGAAATTTGACTTAATTCCGAGTAACATGGGGTTATTGAAGCTTTCAAAGAGTTTGGTCGCCTATTCACAGATATTTGCCGCACTGCACTTATTTGCCTCTTTTCAAGCTTTTCTCAAATTTTTCCAGAATTTTTCAATGGAATGCTGACATTTTAACAACAACATAAAAAACCCATGAGAGATATAAAGACTTGATTGAAGTCCAACGATTACTTCTACGTGATTACCTTTTATTCGCTCCTAGTGATTTCCAATATTTTAGGTATTTTAATCTTGTGCTTGGCCATCCATGGAAAGTTATTCTGACTACCCTAACAGTTTCCTTTATCCTTGCAGCTATATCTGTCACTCTTCACTATGATATATTCGACTTTGATCCACTAACAGTAAGTTGCTCGACATTGGATCTTTGG